GTAACAGGGGCGGCGGTAGCACGGTTTGGGGGGGGATCCCGTCACCCTTAGCGTCGCGGAGTGTGCCGTGACGCTTCGGGCTGCTGGCGCTCAGGGCCTGCTGTCTGGGATGCCCTCAGCCCCAGAGGCGTTTGTGTTGGCCCCAGGTCTGTGGGTTCTGGACTTAGTGCGTAAGGCTGCCTGCCGAGGCCCCACGTGTAGAGTTACGAACCTGGAAGTGTAAGTAGCAGGTGCTCGGCTGGGCTTATGGGACAAGTTTCTGGCAGTTTTAAAAGGATAATGCTTCGTTAAGGAAATCAAAATTCCTCCTTCCCCTCTGCCACGCTGGTTACAAGCGGGGAGCCCTCCCGGTGCTGTGCATCAGGTGGGGTGCAGGCTTTCACCCAGTACTGCACAACTGCAGCTGAGGCCTTCCAAAGCCTGGGAGTTCTGCTCTGGCCTGGGGTCATCCAATGTTAGTATAGCAGCTTGGCTTTAATGTAGACTTGGAAATGCGAGCTCATGGTCATTAAGCTGTTGATGTACAGATCTGTACAACTGGAAGGAGCCTTGGAGGAGCAGAGCATTGATTGATACCACTTAAGGTGGACTTGAAGGTTCTCTTGGGGTAACTGGCGTGAAACGTTCTGCACTAGAATGTATGAAGAAGTTCCAAAAACTTGTAATTAATAAAGTCTCTATAGTTGGATACTTGGTGTCTCTTGGGACTATCAACAACTGAGGCCTGCCCCTGTAAAGTGTGAGGGGCTTGCAGATACCACTGAGGAGCTGAACGTGCCGAGAGCCCGACACCTTGCAGGATCAGACCTTGGAGGTGAGGAGGAAAGCAGTAGTGTTGTGCACTTACCTTTGAATAAAAGAAAGACCCACGCTTCAGCTCCCCTTTTGGGTTTCAGGTAGATTTTCGGGTTACACAGTAAGTTTCTCTTGCCACGCTGCGGGTTGGCTGTTTGGAGCTGGCAGTCAGGCGCTGGCTTTTCTAGCTGGCCTTTGAGCAATTGCTGTGCTCCCTGCTAGCACCGGGTGGCTTCGCTCCCTTGCTTCAAGCTGGAAAGTCACTGATACTTGGGAGTGAGGAAACACATGAAGGTTGGAGCTGATTTCTGTTAATTGCTTTATGGTAGTACCACATTACCTTTAAAAAAAAAAAAAGGAAAAATAGCCTGTAAACAGAGTACTTTGGATACTAAACTAGAATATTAAATTCACTTCCCTCTGTTTTTACTTTTTAAAGCTTTGCTAATCCTCCATCAAGAGCTGTTAAGAAATGGGATATGTAATAAGCATAGAAAGGGTGTCACACTGGTACTTATAAGAAGGGCCAAAGACCAAGCTCATGACCCGACAACATATCTGTTTGTTCCCTCTTCCCTGCAGTGCCTGCTGCAGTTGCCCATGTGCCCTAATGTAGGGTTTCCCATTTCCAGAACCGGAGCCAACCACGTTATTTCTGTACAGTCTCCGTTGTGCTTCTTGGGTGGTATCTATTTCATACACCTCCTTGCAGGTATTCAGTGTGGGGCAGGTCCAAGAAAATTTAAGTTGGTGTGCTTTTTTTTTTTTTTTTTTTAAACTAGGTCGCTGTGAGCGTACTTGGCTGTATCGGAGTATTTCCTTGAGGCTGCTCTGCAAGCACTTGTTGACATCTATAACTTCAGTCTGTGGCTTGACTGGATTATTTACTTGTGTGCAAATTACTCGGGCTTGCCTGTCTACAGCATCTAGTCCAGAGTCTTCCTCGCACAGTAATCCAAACATTGCGAAGCTGCTTTGCAGCAGCTTGTCAAATGATCAATGATCAGTGGGTATAAGGAAACTTTTTTCTAGTGGAATTAGTTTAATGGGGGACATTTTATGGGGAAGAAAGATGACTCTATTGATGGAGTAAACAGTATGGCTTTACCATGCTCCTGGATATCACTTTACACACACACAAAAAAAAATAGATTAGTGTTTTGATCAGTGCTGTTCCTCTGTGTGTAAGCCTCCAACAGCTCAACTTTTGCAGCCTTTTCCCCATACCTGTTAGGACATATTACAAGGAGGTAATGTGTCTCAGAAAGTGAATATTAATATGTACATGCATATATTTCAAATCAAAATTATCTTGTAGCTTAAGCAGGGTTATGATGAGAAACAAGCAAAGCTGTGGGGTTGTATAGATTTGGGTTTTAATTTTGTTGTTGTGGTTAAGCAGGTAGTCTTCCTTAAGGTTGTTCTGGTTTTTTTCTTTCCCTTCTCTGCTGCTAGGGAGAGATCCACCAATTGGTTAACAAGTAGGAGAAGAAACTGAGTGTATGGAGTCAGGTGGGAAATTACACTGGAAAAATGCAAGAAAATGTTATTCTCTTTTGCCTATATAGTAATATTTGATATTACGTGTAAGAAAGAGATACTCAATTTCTAAAAGAATGTTTCAACTTGCAAAAATCTGACTAAGCTCACTCAAGGAGGCGTATACCTTGGCTTAAAAATACCCAGGAATGTTCCAGTTGAGTGATGAGATGGCACAAAACACTGGAAAATATACAGGATGGTCTTTTATAATTGGGCAGTTGTATTCATGCATGAGGTCGAGACCCAAAGCTCACGATCTTGTAGGCATCTTTACCCTTACTGTTTTCCTGGACTCTGTATGGTAGCATTTAAGTCTTATAACAACACCAAAAGCTGCAAAAAGAACAGGCACCAGGTAGGCATGCCTTGTGAGGAACGAGAAGGTGGCAGTAGTCAGTTCCCTCCTTCATAGTACACCTCAGCCAAGGGCCCTTCAAATTGTCTAACGGGAAGCACATCAGCAATCCTGTCACTGCCAACTTGGACAAAAGTCATGCTGGCATTTCCTCAGCACTGCTGTATTTATGGCAGAATTGGGTATGTGTGCTACTCTTGAAAAAGGGGCTACCTCGAATTTCTTCTCACTGCTAGAAACTGTAAGTTCTTCAGGTCAGACTACTATGAGGTTTGGATGTTGATCCACGTCTCCGCAGGCCAAGACTTTTATCAGTAGTGCTCTCTGCCAGACCTCTCTTCCCTTTGTACCAAGGCTGCCGTTTCTTACGGGGAGGTGGAAAAGGCTGACTACAGCCCCTTGTGAGATGGGAGCTGGATCGGATCCTGCCTGTCTGTTCTTCCTTCTGTGGCTCCAACTGACTCTCCTTTAGCTGCCTCTTTCATGTCAAGAATACCCAACAGCCCTTATTGTAAATGGAAATTGATTTTCTGCATTGGTTTTGTTTGCAGGATTTTAAGCTCGAGTTTGGCCATCATCAAGGCAGGACAAGTTCTGTCTGGCATGGAGGTACAGCTACCATTGTTCAGAGCCCTGGAGACGAAGTATGGGGAATAGTGTGGAATATGAACGCTAGCAATTTAAGTTCACTGGATAAGTAGGTGACTTAACTTTTGCTGTCTTCTACTATTTTAGAGAGCAATTGAAAAGTAGTAGTTAATTTTTGGTAAAGAGCTATGTGGAAGCTTTGGTGTTGGAATCAAGAATATGCTTTGGATTTTAATAGGTGAATTTCACTTCACAGTGCATGTATTGACTTCTAACATATTTGTGATTAAAATGGCTTTGTTTTCAAGCTAAAGCTACTTGGGGGTATTTTAATAAGGTGTGGACCTTGATTTGGAGCTGATATATTGGTCAGGCTCCTTTTTTTTTTTTTTTGAATCCCTGTCCTCACAATGTCCTGTCCCTTAAATTACTCTTAAACTCTGTATTTGTCCTGTGACACTTTTCCCATTGCTTTACAGAAACTTTCCTTTGAGACTGACATCAATTTTTGTCTCTATACATCGGTAGACTCCAACTGTAGTGGAAAAGGAAGGGATGAGGACAAGACTTGCAGAAAAGCAGCAAATCTTAATACAGGCAAAGGGAGCTTTTGAGGAAGTGATTTTGCTTGTCTTCTAAGGATTCAGACTCTTGTGAACTTGAGGTAGATTCAAGTAGGAGCTGGGGAGGGTTTCTTCCCCTTTGAATGGGAGAGGCTGCCTGCACCATTACAACACATGGCGGAAAATGTTCTGCCTCTGCCTGATAATTCAGACAAGTTTAAGGCAACCTGAGCAAGTTGTTCCCAGGCTGAAGTCTGGAAGACCACCTGGTTAAACAAATCAGAGTAGCATAACTTCTTGCAGGGTCTAAGGCAGGACTTAAAACTTAATCTCCAAAACTTTGGCTGGTGTCGTGTGTTTATGGCAGCTTTCGGGATGTGCCTGCACAGCATAGTGATTCTGGTACACAAGGATCGTTTGTTCAGAGCAGTTCATCACTGTCAATTCCAGTAGAAATCTGGGCTAGTGAGGCTAAGGAAGCAGGGCATATTAAACCCATTGAAAGTGTTACATTAATACAGTTCTCCTGCCTCTGGTGGTGTTGCAATTTTGGTTATAGTTGCACTGTGTTGTGTAGACACGTCCTTAAACCTTGGCCATGAAACCCGAAGTTCCAACTTGCTTTTCATTGCCTACAGTGAACCTGAAATACAACAGAAACTGTTGCCTGAGTTCTGTTAGCACATTGTGGAAATGAGCACTCTCAGCACTCTCAAGTCCTGGTTGGGAGTGTTAGTCCCAAGCAGGATGGCATCTAGCTGGTACGCTTCTGGTTGGGGAGAGCTTCACAGGTCCCTGCTTTGTGATCTCCTGAGTTCCCCCTCTGGTGCTTACACTAGCACTTAATTCCTGGTCCCTTTTCTGTTGACCTTTACTGAAATCTCCTGATTTATCATGCTTTCCTAAAGTGTAAACTTCAGAAGCATAAAGATGCTGTCTGGCTGCATCTGCTTTGATAGTAACACTGAGTTCCTCCTACGGGGACAGCATTTTGTATTTTAACTTCTAGAAATGTTCTTTAGGTACTGTAGAATTGCAGATCCCTGGCATTTGTTTGACAGGATAAACTTTAATGCTGGCTAAGATGCTAGAGATTTGAGTGCTATATCATCACCCAAAACCGTGGGACAGACACTAGCATTAAAGATTGCTTTTTCCCCAGCTGCCTCATTGATGCTGTGAAGGTGGACTGGACGTGGAAGGAAACAGGATGTGTTCTTGGCTTTTATAACGATAGTTGATAGTGTTCTTCTAAGGACTGTTCTTAACCAATTCTAAAGAGCTTGCATGTGTTCCTGCTGCTTTGGCTGTGCGCAAGCAGATATATTTGTAAATTCTCAACCAAGTTATTTCCTGAAATTTCCATGTATCAAGAAAAAAAATGTTTCACTCTTTCCCCACCCATACCTTTTTCCCCCCAGTCTGAAGAAAGAAATCTGTGCTTCGTTATCCAGAAGCAGAGGAGGGAATGTGTAATTGATGCTGTGTGTCGTTAGTTGAAATACTGGTAAACAATCTAATATACAGAAAACAAATATGGGAGGGGAATCTTTTCCTTAGATGGCTGAACTTTTGGGCTTCAAATGCGTTTTGGTGCTGTCTCATGGTCAGATTTTTTTTTTGTCCTCTGTACCTTACAAATCTGTAAGTTACAGACTAAATCATGACTTTTCCTCATATATCTTAGCAGTGGATGTTACTTCACTGTAACACTTTCCTTGCTTTCCTGCACCCATCTGACTTATTTTGCAGTCTGTTGGCCTTGAATCTGCAGTTAGCTTCCAGTCTCTACTTGCACAACCTAGTTAGTCACATAACGTGGCCTGTGTTATGTACATTAAATAACTTGAAATGGTATTAAGTCTTTGAAAGAAAAATAAGTTGTCAAAATAGTATTTTGATGAGCAGCATTAAAACCCGTGTTATCACTCATATCTAAAGTTAACTGTGCTATAAAGTCTGTCTTGCATTGCTTAAGTGTCTCATTTACTTCTCAGAATTTCCTCAAGACTGTTTCTGGCGGCTAAATGCTAATGGTTAAAGACAACAAGTAGCCTTGTTTTTGAGTTTGGTTTTGTTTTCCTAAGACAGCGTGGTTTTGCTAATTAAAAAAACCAATAAAATGATTTTTGCCCTGATCTAGCTCATTGTTGCTGTCTAAGTCTTGTGCAAATTAAAGGGTGTCTTGGGTTATTTGTTGGAATGTGCATTGCAAGAGTTGTTTCCCCTTACCCAAATGTAACATAATGGGCAAGATAAAACTTTGCAATTGTTTCATTGTGTGAGTGGAAGGTAGTGAATGATATGTGCCTGGCTCATTAATTCTGATAATCTCGGTTGTGTTTCTCTTGTAGATTACCAGACTTGCACAGTAATTAATTCACAAGGAGTATTCTCTCTCTAACTTTAAGTTAACCATCAGTCATATTTCTTACAGAGCTGAAATGATACAAGTGAATGCTGCTGCTTCTCTAGAAACTTATTTTTGGATATGAAACAAGTTTGTACAAAAAGTACTGGAATATGTTTTGCTTTGTTTGTTTTTCCTTAAGTCTATTAACAGCGCAGACCAGTGTCCTGCCTTGAATTCTGTTAGAATAAATGCATATGTTTAATTGCAGTTTGATTGAAAGATACATCAGTTATTTGGCATGAAAGGAATACATGTCCTTTACAGGCAAGAGGGAGTTGAAGATGGCATTTATGTCCCGATAGAAGTTGATGTCCACACTCAAGCAGGAAAGGTACTGACCTGTCGAAGCTACCAGATGAAGGACTATGTCTGTGGTCCCCCTTCTCCTCAATATAAAAAGGTTGGTGTCGCTGTAATTCTGGAGAGAATGAACAGAAATCTATAATGCAGTACTTCTGTCCTATTTAATAAGTACTTTATTTACAGTGGATGGAAGGCATGAGTAACTCTAAAGGTATAACTTAATCCTTGTGCAATGTAATAGTGTAATGATGCTCGCAGAAGATTGCGAGCTCTTACAAGCCTACTAAATCAGGTTTATTTTTTGGTTTAGTTATGCCTTATGTGAAGCCTCTATTTAACTTGTGAATTAGTTATGACTGACACAAGGATATCTGAAGGATGTTGTTTACATATATGCAGCAAGTCTGTTTGAAAAATTAATGTACTCCACTAAAAGGACAGAGGGAAGCTTCTGTGGGGAGAATACAGCACTGTAGTCTCAAGGACATGGATTATCCCTATTGTCTTATGAAGTATCTTACTATCATTTAATACAGGAGCACACCTGCCTCCTTTTACCAGATGCATCATCAGTATATTACAGGACTTCCAGCAACATTGCAGTGCACTGCAGGGCTCCCACTTAGTGGCTGGTGAGGCAGAAGTGTTTCAACACTGTTCTGCAACACAGTGACTCTATAAAGACACATGATTCAGTCACGCAGCAGGCTTGACCTGCTTAGCTTGTGAGATCTGATGCGGGCCTAGCCTCGGGTGGCATGACTGCATGTCTGGAATTGTGCAGTTATTAGCAATTGCAGATAACCATCACTGTAACGCGTTGACTTTTTCTACTGAAAGCAAAGAAACAGGGCTTGAGCTTGTTAAATCCCAAGTGTGGTGCCTTTTCTTAACTGAGGAACTTGTTCCTATGAATCAGCTTCCAGGAGCATACCTAAGGTGAGCTGCTGCAGGACTTCTGAAGAGAAAGGTTGCTTAGAAAGCCGGCTCTGCTACTTCACAAACCTCCTCCCTGCCAACCCGTTTCCTGTCAAGACAGATCTTTAGGGCTTTTCAGGGAGTTAATACACAGTCTGCTGCTGTGTGTCAGCTCTCACTAGTACACTGTAAGAGCAGACCTCCAATATTGGCAACTTTTATCTAGCTAAACAGTCCCTCCTGCTGTTGCCAGGGTCAATTCTCTCCTTCCCCACTGCCCCCAGCTTTTACTTAAGTTAACCAGGCAAGGGGGCTAAAAATTCAGTATAGGTGACTGCATCAGCACACAGTGATCTACATTCATCTACAGTTGTGTACTCTTTGTGGCAAAGTTATCCTTTCTAGACACCTCATCCTTGAATTTCCTGGCTGTTGAATGCATTAAAGAATATTTACAATAGTGTCAGCTTTTAAAATCTGTGTATTTATCTATTCATTTCTATATGGGAGCTTGCTGGTGTCTCTTCCAAGCCTTGGCTCCTACAGCCTCCTTTCCTCTCACTGTCACTTCATCTTGCACCAATACTTAAGTTTATTTTGTATGTAGAAGGAAAGCTGCAGTAACAAACTCTAAGGAATCGGTGCCTTTTCACTAAGCTATTTGTTTCTGTTACTCCTATAACCTGTCTAGGTACTCACTGTTGTGCTTTGCATTTGAAGAGCTTAGTTTTAAAAGTAACTTCAATAATAAATGATGTGATGTGATACTAAGGCTGAAAGCATAAAAAGTAGTTCTCTTCCTCACTGGAAGAAAGAATGGAATAACTGAATAACAGCTTAATTGTACAGTCTTGTGCACATTAGTAACATTTCAGAATCTTAGGGGTATACCTTGGTAGTTACAAGCCTTGTCAAAGTAATTTTGTTGACACTGTTAAGGTCTTTAGTGGTCTTCCAGAAGCCTTTGGCTATCTTTAGATACAAATAGCATTATTTGGGACTAATTTTCTTGTTACCTTAAGTGGCTCTTCCCATATGAGTAAATGTTTGGAGGGGTCTATGTCCTTCCTAAGACTATTATTGAAGGCTTTTTTTTTGCCTTTTTTTTTCCCCTTTTGATTATAGGTTATCTGCATGGGTGCAAAACAGAATGGCTTGCCAACTCACTATCAGAAAAAATTAGAAGCTATTGAAACTAATAACTATGCAGGGCCAGTGCAAATCATGGAAGAGATTGAAGCTGCTATTAAAGCAAAGAAAATAAATTCTGCATAGAATACCTCTGCACTTGCTTGGCTGTTCACCTTGATTTAGATAGCTGTCCTCGCTGTGCTGATCAGCAGTTTCTTTTATTTGTCAAGAAAAGATGTTTGCTGTGCATCTACAGTAAGCAATTAGACATAATTTGCAATCTGAAGACACACTGACATTGGTAACTTCTTCACTTGATATGTATAGCTTGAGCACATGCTGAAGTTTTTGCAGATTTAGAAATTACCTTTCTGTAATTGTCATGCAGTGCTGCACGCAAATTTGTGCTTTGTCTCCTGTTTACTGAGCTTTTTTAAAAGAAAAAGGCGATCTTGGTGAGTATTGGCATCTATTGCCTTCTGAGGAATAAGGGCTGCAGGATCAGGCCCTTTGTTCTTAAATGTTGTATAGACAATTATCAAGAATTTAAAAGATTTTTTTTTTTTAGATGCAAAGTAGACTCAGAACTCCAAAGCAAGGCTAAACTTTTTCCTCTGCTGCTTCACTTAATGGTTTAAAGCCTGACCTATCTGAAGCTATGGAGTTCCTGTTTCTGTTTACATAGTTAAAAAGAAGAAAAAGTAATATTTTTTTAAACTATCTCCATATTTTAAAGCATTAGTCCAAAAGGCAACACGGGCCTGAAGACAACAGTAAAGGATCTCATTCAAACCATAATGACCTCCTTTCATGTCTATTAATGATCATAGGTGAACTGGTTAGGTATAACCAACGGATTTTAAAGAACTCAGGTAATTCCAAGGTTTTTAAAATTACCTTTTTGAGGCTTGTTGCTTATCTAGACCTTGGTCTCATGCCCAGTGAAATCAGGAAGTCTCCTGTGAGTCCTAGTGCATTTGTTTCATGGTTTCATTTGTGTGGTCTCCCCCCCAGCTTTGACAAGCTCCTGAAAACTGGAAGCTCTTCTAAGTACTCTAAACCTTATCTTCATGGTACTTGGCAACCCCTGTAGTTAGTCTGTGGGGGACGAGGAAAAATTAACAACCTGGAAGATGTCAAACAACCAAACTTTGGCTTATCTTCTGTACAGTGGGGTTTTTTCCTCTTGATGTACAGAGAGGTATAAGATATAATTGGTGTCACTGTGTGACTGCTTAGATAAACAAATGACAAAGTAACAGACTTACCATGTCTTCTCTGCATAAAATTTTTCTCTAAACTTCTGCCAGGGATGTATAGGTGCTGTCCTGATGTCATATGCCTGTTTCCAGAGTTGGGTATGGTGACTGCAGTGAAACACGGTACTTTCTGTATTAGCACTGTTTAGTCTGAACCTGAGTAAATAAAACTGTGTTTACCAAAACTCTCCCGTCTGTTCAATGCATGGTTCAAGAGTATCAGTGTCACTTACGTAAGCAAAAGCTGGTGATGTGGAAATGGAATTGAAACTTCCATTGGCTATTTGCACTTTTTTAATGGATATAATTTCAGTATGGAGGGACAAACTATGCATGAACATGCTCCTCAACATCAGCGCATCTTTTGCTTTACCCTTACCATGCTCCTTTAGGCTTTTGAACTTTTCAATGGGTATTTTGCTCTTGCAAGAAGGAAAATGGAAATGTAATTTCCTGACAGCCTCCTTGGCGGTAATTGACAGAAGGCACTCGATGCCTCCTGTTGGGGAAAAGGGTGGGAGCAGCCTGAGGGCCGGGGGAAGGCCTCCTTCCCCCGAAGCAGGGCCCCCGATACCTCTCTCGGGTGAGCAAACCTTCTGCCATGCCAGTGTGGGGAGCGAAAGGCGGTGTTTCTGAAGGAGAAGAGGCCTTCGGCCATGCCTGCGTGGGGAGGAGCCGCTTCCCGCC